AATCCTCCTTGGTATCTCTGCATCTGTTAAACTTTTTATGGGAAGATGTATGAAAATTCAACTTGCTATAATTTCATATGCTTAACAGTATCACAGCAGTATGTTTACAGTATCTCCACATAACTTTTCATATGAAAAAATGTATTATATGCACTCGATATCATTGAATTCCTCATTAGAACATGTAGTCCCTCTATTTTAGCGTATCAACAGTTCATATGGCTTCATACCATGTAAATGCACCATTAGGATTGTTAAAAAACCAATGCTCTCTAAAAATTAATTCTAATATACAACCAATCGTAGATCCACCAAGAAAAATACCGTTCACACTTCACGACTGGCTTAAAAAGGAACTCGATAGAATGGTTAATTTAAATGTTATTACGCCGGTCAGCGAGCCTACAGAGTGGGTATGTTCAATTATTCTGGTGAAAAAGGGCGGTGTTGTCACTTGCGAAGCGAATGAATTTGGCGAAGCGAACGGTTTGGCGAAGCGAATTAAAAGGCAGAGAAGGTATTAAAAGTGTGCGCGATGCGAAGAACTTGCACAAGCTGGTAAAAGCGAACACTCTTAATGCATATTTAAGTTGCGTCCGCCAATCCATTCGCTTCGCCAAACCGTTCGCTTCGCCAAATTCATTCGCTTCGCAAGTGACAATACCGCCCAAAACCAAATGGTAGTATGCGCGTCTGCCTAGATGCAAAAAATCTTAACAAAGCTATAATAAGACCTCGGTTTTCTTTTCCTAATATCGACGAATGCAAGTCTAAGTTAAGCGGCTCTCGAATATTTAGCACTCTGGATGCGAATTCAGGGTTTTGGATGATTTCATTAGACGAAAAATCATCAAAGTTGTGCACTTTTAACACCCCTTTTGGCAGATACAGATTTTTACGCCTTCCACTTGGCATATGTGCAGCGCCAGAGTTTTTCCATGCCGAAATGGTCAGGTTATTTGAAGATATTAATGGTTTGTTAATCTAGATGGATGATTTTTTGATTCATGCCCCCAATATTAAGGAACATGACATTATCTTACAAAAAGTAATGGAAAGAGCACAGCACGTAGGTTTAAGGTTCAACAAAAATAAGTCCACTTTTTATAAAAAATATATTAAATTTATTGGTTATATCTTTAGTGAGCAAGGTGTCAAAGCAGACCCAGATAAAGTTTCCGGCTCCACGGTGTGTAGCTGAGCTGCAACGGTTTATGGGAATGGTTAACTACCTCGGGTCTTTTATAAAAAATTTGTCGTCAAAAAAAAATTTACTAAATCTTTTGAAAAAAGATATTCAATGGCATTGGGACTATATTCATGAAAAAGAATTCAATGCTTTAAAGTGCGAATTAACAACCGCACCCGTATTAACTTATTTTAACGTGCGTCAGAAGTTAACTATGTCAGTGGATGCCCCAAAGTTTGCAGTAGGTGCGGCGATTTTTCATGGAAAAAATCCCATTGCTTACGGTTCAGCATCTTTGACCACTGCACAAATAGAAAAAGAATTATTTGCCATCCTTTTTGGAGTTGTCAAATTCCACCAATATATCTACGGTTTAAAAGTAATCGTTGAAACGGATCATAAACCGTTGGTGTCATTGTTTAACAAGCCACTTTTTAAAATTCCTGCACGCTTGCAGCGTTTTATGTTAAGACTTCAACGTTATGATCTCGAATTAGTGTACAAGCCAGGCAAGTTCCTATATGTAGCCGACACACTGTCAAGGGCACCCTTAAAAGAGACAACGAAGATCGAAATAGATGACGAATTAAATTTGCACTGTAACTTTTTAGCGTCTCAAATTGCATTGCCAGAAAAGCGTTTGAATGAAATTTCGTCTGCTACAATAGCTGACGACACTTTAAAGAAAGTCAGGGAGTACATTCAAGACGGCTGGCCTGTAAAGAAAAAAGAAGTTGACAAGCACGTCATGCCTTATTTTAATAATAAAGATGATTTCGCAATATTTGGAGATCTTATACTAAAAAGAAACAAGGTTGTAATACCGTTGAGTCTTCGTAAAAAGATTCTATCCGATATTCACGAAGGGCACATGGGAATACAGCGCTGTCAAAGTTTGGCGAGAGATTCGGTATACTGGCCTAATATTAATAACGACATTTATAATTTACTGTCAAGTTGTGAGACATGCATTCGATATAAAAATGCAAATTCACGCCTTGGTATAAATTAGGGTGTGATCTTTTTGAATTTAACAAAAAGTTGTTTCTATTAGTCGTAGACTATTACTCAAAATTTATTGAAATAGAAACTTTGAACTTCGGTTCGTCCAGCAACCAAGTTATAGCTAAAATGAAGTCAATTTTCTCACGCCATGGAATACCTGCCATCCTCGTCTCGGATAATGGTCCACCTTTCTGTTCAAAAGAATTTAAAACTTTTTGTGACGAGTGGAAAATTCAGCATAACACATCTAGTTCGTACTTGCCTCGGTCAAATTGCCTTGCTGAAAGGTCAATTCAAACAATAAAAAAGATGCTAAATAAATGCCATGACACGAAAGCTGACCCGTACACGGCACTTTTACATTACAGGACCACTCGTAAAAATAATATGCCTAGTCCAAGTGAATTATTGATGTCAAGAAAACTTAGGACAAAACTACCAGCAATGTCAAAAAATTTCGAAACAGCGATTGTTGATAAAAAGTCATATGAAAAGCAAATAGAAAAGCAAAGTCAAATATCAGCAGCAAACCATAACAAAACAGCGAAATCAGTAAAGCCTATAGAAAAGGGAGAACATGTAATGTACAAAAAATCACCTGCATCAGTTTGGCTTCCAGGTAAAATCGTTGAGTATAGTAAAGAGCCTAGATCTTTCGTGGTTCAAGATGCAGATGGTACTTTGTATAGGAAAAATAGAGAGCATATTTTGAAAAAATCAGTACAAGAGAAAGAAGAAACAAACGAAGAAGAAAATAGTGTAAAGAATAAAGAACAAGAGAATGAACTCACAAATGAAAAAGATGTTAATAATGAAAAAAGAACTGAAGAAATATGTAACAGTCACCAAGACGCTTATGTGACTAAAAAGGGAACAAAAGTAGTAAAACCCAATAGACCGGAATATAACAAAAATTTAATATTTTTTCTTGTATTACATGAATTAGCGCTGTCAAACTATCGATAGTCAAGTCCATCGATGTTTTACGATAGTCTTAAGGGTGACTATCGATACTATCGATAGTATCGACCCATTTCATATGTTTTTTTAAATCCATTTATTTTTCGTTATCTTGCTCTTATAAATTTGTTTATTTTAGCGGCTCACGGTTGCATTTTAGAATCGAGAAATATTCACTCGCCGTGTAAAAAAAGCGATTTCATAAATTTTCCCTGCAATTCGCCTTTCGGAAATAAAAAACATTCTTTCGAAAGGCACTTTACATGCAAGGTGCCACTGCTCATGCAACTGCTTTCTGAAATTTCTCAATTTTACAGTCTACTGCATTGCCCGGTCTGACACGCTCTTAAGACGGCAATGTAACCCTGCTATTCCCACGCTTAAAATAAAAAATTACGCTTTTAGAAATAATGCCATGAACCAACTAAACAGATCACCCAGCACAGCAAGCGCGTATTTGTAATTGCAATTGAGAAAAAAAAAAAAAAGTTTATAATGTCATTTTTTAATCGGTTGTTTCATTCATGCACATGGTTTCATTCCGTTTCACTCACATGGCGGCGAAAAAATTACGTCACTGCGAAAAATAATACTTGTTTCTCGCACACCGCCATGGTTGATCTTTCTTTATTCGTTCGTTCATGAAATAATGCTGCCAAATTTTGTTCTCTTTGAACCAATACGTGTAAAAGTCTAAAGCGCTAGGAAAGAGAATTCGCTATCAATAAAGCGATAGTGACGATAGTACTAAAACTATCGATAGTTATTTCAAGTGACCAGACTATCGATAGTATCGTCGATAGTTTGACAGCTCTAACATGAATGTACATAACTTTATCTAATCAAATTGATATGTATGATTTATATTACACTGAAATACTTTTGATTTTATATGTAATTCCATTTACGTTATTTATGAAAACTTAATCACAAAAAGGGAGATGTTATGTAAAGTATAACTACTTATGGTAACTACATCTCTTATACTAATCTATTACCATATGTCTAATTACTTGTTACTTAGCCACCCTATTATTATTTATCTACTCTTTCTCCCATACTTGTACTTACACTGGATACTCATTAGCTTTACTTCACTAAAGAGACATTATCAGTCTGGCACTCAAAGACACAACACCATTGATTTATTTATTTTGCCCACAAACTAAAAAATTTAAAATATTTTCCAATATATATTAAGTTCAGTTTATTTTTAAGCAGTTCGCAATTTGTTTCCATTAAATTAAAAAAAGTACTCTTTAGCTACCATTTTTACGAAAAGGGATTTAATTTTTCCCTTCATACATCCTGCTTAAATGCAACCTTTTGTAAGGGAGACTGAAAACGTTGTTGTCACTATTGAGCAAAGAAATATCAAGTTGTTTAGACAAAAATGTATTGTTTGTATTAAATCTAAATTTATTTAACTAAGAAATTGGGAATATAACCAAAATATTGTATTGTATTGTAAACAGAGTATCTGAATGCTACTAATAAATCATAATACTACTACTACTACTACTACTACTACTACTACTAGCAAACCTTTGTGGCGACCACGCTGAAAACACTGTTCGATGGCAACCTTAATTCGGCGACGAACAACAGGAGAAAGAAGACTGAACACTTGACGAACATGACATTCCATTTTTGATAGTCATACAGTGAACAGCATATGTAAATTAGCGTATTAGTAAAGAGTCATTTTTGATACATTAATTTTGTAGTAGTGTAATCACTGTGTAATAGCAATAAGTACAAATAGTAGAAACATGGCAATACTGCCATGGAATAAGTAAAACGTACTAATATACCAAGATGGCAATACCGCCAACGAATAAACGCCATTCCATTGTGTGTCGGCTACAGCATCAGGTGTGCAAAGAATCCGAGCTCGCGACTTAAGTTTAAAAAAATTAATTAAAAACGGAAAATGAGTGAACTGATGCAAAGGAAGGAGATCGCAACTGCCCTGGAGGACATGGGCGTGGAGTTTCCGCCAACGGCCACTTTAACCCAACTACGGGGATTGTTAGCAACAACGGTAGGCGCAACGGCACAAGGCGACGCCAACCAAACGGCAAAGTCGCCGGCAATGCAAGACGCCAATAGAACCGTTAATAACGGCCAGACTCAGCGCAACTCAGCAGCAGCGACGGCTGACAAACAACGCGAAATTGTCCGGGCAGAGGTTGGCGAATCAGCAGTGGAGGAGCGCCAATCACCGATATCGACGGCAGCGTTCGGGAGCGACAAACGTGAAGCTATAGCGGCGGTGATGTGCGGCCAACGTGGAGTAACAACTGAGGCGGCGGCTGCGAACGCCGGCGCAGACCACGCGGTTCATAGAAACCGTTCAGACGATGACAGCGAATTAACCGCTATGGAAGAACGCCTAGAAAAACGGTTACGTATCTTACAGCTAGAAGCGGAGATCAACAAACTTGGAGCGGGCAGAGTAAACCGCACCCTTCCGATGAACTTAAGCGAGATTGAAAAAACCCTTCCGAACTTCAGTGGCGACAACAAAATAAACGTCGAAAAGTGGATCGCCGAGTTCGACGACACAACCAGTGCTTACGCCTGCAACGAAGAATCGAGAATGATCATCGCTCGACGTCTTCTTACGGGAAGCGCCCAAATTGTTTTGCGCATAAGCCGCATCAACACGTGGGCCGAACTGAAAGCTGGACTCATAAGTGAGTTTAAAAAGCCACTCAGCGTGAAGGACGTCTTCCACCAACTGGAAACACGCGTATGGGAGAAGTCAGAGACGTTGGGACACTACGTGTTGTCTATGCAGGAGCTGGCGCAATCGGCTCCGATCGGGGAGCACGAACTAGTCGAATTTATCATAGACGGATTGAGAGACAAATCAACAAAAACCCTTGTCTTCAGCGGCGTCACAACCATCGAAAAACTGAAGAAGTTGATTCCGCAGTACGAGCGGCTACTAATGGCAAGCTACAACAAACGGAGCCCTTCAATCGCAAGCGGGGGCGAGGTACAAGTAAGGTGTTACAACTGTTCCAGGTATGGCCACTACTCGATCGACTGCAAGGAAAAGAGGCGTGAACGGGGTTCCTGTTTTAAGTGCGGGGCAAAGGACCACCTATTTAGGAACTGCCCACTTAAGGTCGTAGCAGCAGTGGAAGAGGACGGCGACTACAAAGCAGTACATTTTAAGGAAATGGTAAGTGTTGCATTCAGTCTAAACCGTGATCGTCCTCATTATGTTTGCTTTTCTTCTCTGCTTGACACGGGCAGCCCATGTAGTTTTGTGCGACAATCGTCCATTCCGGCCAAGGTGAAGTACGAGTACGACCAAAAAATGCGTACGGTTAGAGGTGTCGGAAGGGCCAATGTAAAACCCTGCGGGTGTATCTTTGTACTAATTATATTTAAAAACACAGTGAAATACTTGAAAATCTACATATTGGCCGACAATGAATTGCCCTTCCCGTTATTGTTGGGGAGAGACTTTATGAAGTCGTTTAACATTAGTCTAGTGTATAAAAATGAATTCGTTAATTTAAATAAAACCACACCCAAATCAGAGAAAGAAGTTTCTTTAATTTCGATTGGGAACGTAGAAGAACGTAAGATCTATTCCGATAGAAAAAAAAGTAGGGCTAATTCAGTTACAGGTACTGTAAATGCGGAGACAGAACTTATCGATATTTTTAACATCGAAAATGATGTAAAGGATAATGATTTAATTGACATAAATCCTCGGTTACCTTCAGCCTGGGCAGATAACTTCCGACTTATGGTAAAAAATACTTACGTGCATGAACAAATCGAACTTCCGACCGTTGATTATGAGGCCAGAATTATACTTACGTCAAACACTCCGACCTTCTGTGCACCTAGGCGCTTATCTTTCGCCGAGAAGAATGAAGTTACTCGAATTATAGAAGATTTGCTTAAGAAAAATATTATTACACAGTGAATCCCCTTACGCATCACCAATTGTCCTTACGAAGAATAAATAATATAAAAAAAAAAACTTTTTAATATACAACGCTTTTATAAATGGACTAAAAAAAGTAGAAAATAATATTTCTCAGTCCCATAGAATTTGTTTTGATAACTTTTGATTTGGAAATTTTAGCAAAAGTCGTTATAACCAATTTATGAGATTGAAAATGGAAAGCGTGGGGCGCATATAATAAATAATAATAATATAATAGATTGGCGCTTACACATATGTTAGTGTTTGGCCGAGCTTCTCCTCCGATTTGTGGCGTGCGCCTTGATGTTGTCACACAAAGCGGAGGGACCTACAGTTTTACGCCGACTCCGAACGGCGATTGTATTTTTATGAGAAGCTGTTTTTCATGGCAGAAATACACTCGGAGGTTTGCCATTGCCTGCCGAGGGACGACCGCTGTTAAGAAAAAACCTTTTTTCTATATTTTTGCGATGTTGCTTTGACCAGGGTTTGAACCCAGGCATTGTGGAGTGGAAGCGCGCACTGCTTACCACTACACCACAGCGGCCGACCTACACCACAGGGGCGCATATAATAGCCACCTGAATTGATATGAAGGGTAATATATGTTCATATGTATGTGGATATATGAATAACGACCGCTTAAAATCGATCTCAAATTTGTACTTTCGCTGAAGAAATTTTAGGTCTATGTTATGTAGTTTGCCTATTGTCAATTAAATATAATGCTTTGTATTGCATGCGCCCCACGCTTTTCATTTTCAATCTCATAAATTGGTTATAACGACTTTTGCTAAAATTTCAAAATCAAAAGTTATCAAAACAAATTCTATGGGACTGAGAAATATTATTTTCTACTTTTTAGTCCATTTATAAAAGCGTTGTATATTAAAAAGTTTTTTTTTATATTATTTATTTTCTACTTTTTTGTCTTGTCTGTATAAAATTTCGCGATAGATATTAAAATAATTCAACGATATTAATAGAAAGGTGCACACAGATGCATTTTCATATGTATGTACATACAAACGAGCACCAATTAATTTTATTTAAAGAAATGGCGTGTCGTCTATTTCCGCTGTAGCGAACGTAGTACATAGGGCGACATCTAGATGTCATCTAACTCGCCCTATTCACTACAGATGTCGCCCTATGCACTAGACTTTTTATAGGAACTTTTGAAGAAATGGCGTGTCGTCTATTTCCGCTGTAGCGAACGTAGTACATAGGGCGACATCTAGATGTCATCTACCTCGCCCTATTCACTACAGATGTCGCCCTATGCACTAGACTTTTTTATAGGAACTTTGCAAAGCAAAGGTTTTATGGTGTCGGACACACAACATTGAAAGTTTCTGGATCCACAACATTGAAAGTTTCTGGAGCCACAACATTGCAAGTTGATAAAAGCGTTGTAAAAAATCAGGCGAAACAAGGATGTGCATTGATTATTGAAATCTAAACAAATCGATCGTCGGGGATAATTACCCCCTCCCATTAATAGAAGACTGCTTAGAGTACCTAGGGGAAAACAAAATATTTACTCTATTAGACCTGAAATCAGGATTTTACCAGATTAAGATGGCGGGGGAGTCAGTAAAGCACACTTCGTTTGTGGTCCCAAACGGACAATACGAGTTCTTGAGAATGCCGTTTGGACTGAAAAATGGACCAGCCATTTTCCAGAGATTTATAACTAAAATCTTAAAAGAATTCATTGAGAAAAACGAAATAATGGTTTATATGGATGATATCATCATCGGGAATAAAAGAGTAGACGACCATTATAATCTAGTTAAGAGAGTGTTAGAGAAACTAACCGAGTATGGCCTTCAGATAAAATTAAGCAAATGTAAATTTGCATATAGTGAAATTGAGTACTTAGGTTACGTGTCAAAAGCCGGTATACGCCCCTCCAAAGCCCACATAAAGGCTGTAACAAACTACCCAACTCCCAAGAACCAACGGGAACTGCAGGCGTTTATTGGGTTATGCTCATACTTCAGAAAATTTGTCCAATCATTTTCAACATTAGCTCGCCCACTATACGACCTTCTTAAGAAAAACAAAGCCTTTAATTTTAATGAAGAATGTGTCCACGCCTGCCGACAGCTTAAGGAAAAGTTGGTATCAAGTCCAGTGCTGGCCATATACAACCATGCTAGGGAGACAGAACTGCATTGCGACGCTAGTGCTCACGGCTTCGGCGCAATATTGTTACAAAGACAGGATGACGGCCAATTACACCCTGTAGCATATTTTTCGAAAAGAACATCCGATGCTGAGAGTAGATACCACAGCTTTGAATTAGAAACACTAGCTATAATTTACGCACTACGCCGATTCCGAGTATATTTAGAAGGCATTAAGTTCAAAATATTGACCGACTGTAACTCGTTAAGGTTGACAATTAACAAAAAATTGGTGAACAGTCGAATAGCAAGATGGGCTTTGGAATTAGAGAATTATAACTACTCGATATCTCATAGAGCGGGCACAAGAATGCCACACGTAGACGCACTTAGCAGAAATGATTTCGACTGCGAAAATATAATAGGGGTAATCAATAGCGAAGACTTAGACTTTCAACTACAAATTTTGCAGTCTCGAGATGAAGATATAGTGAATCTGAAAAATAAGTTGGAAAATGAGAATATGAAAAACTTTGCCATGGAAAATGGCGTTATATATAGGTAAGACAACGACACTCTAAAATTATATGTTTCGAAAGAACTCGAAAACGAAATAATGAGAAACACACACGAGCAGTTAGGGCATCAAGGTGTCGAAAAGTGTTACCAAAAAATTAGGATGAACTACTGGTTCCCAAATATGAAAAATAAAATAAATAATTTTAAACAGAATTGCCTAAAATGTATTATGTACTCCGCCCCTAGCAACCCAAACGCAAGACAGCTACACAATATTCCAAAGCATCCAAAACCTTTTCACACAATACATTTAGACCATTTAGGCCCACTTCCGTCTTTGCAATCGAAGCGAAAGCACATTTTGGTAATAATCGATGCATTTACCAAATAGGTGAAATTGTACCCAGTCTTAACGACAAGCACCAAAGAAGTGATCGCTGCACTTAATAAATATTTTGAATACTATAGTCGGCCTCAAAGATGTATAACAGATAGAGGTAGTTGTTTTACATCAAAAGAATTCGAAGAATATATAGAAAATAAAAATATAACCCACATAAAAGTAGCAGTACATTCCCCGCAGGCAAATGGGCAAGTAGAAAGGGTAAACCGAAGCTTAATAGGCATGTTGGCAAAACTCAGTGACCCGGTAACTCATTCAGATTGGGTGAAACAGTTAAATAAGATAGAATTCGCACTAAATAACTCGACAAATAGATCGATTGGGGTAACACCAAGCCAGGCATTGTTCGGCGTCAAACAACGTGGTGAAACTATAGATAAACTCGCAGAATATCTGGACGAGTACATTTCAGGCCCGTGGGGAGGGATTTAGAGAAAATACGCAACGGCGGTGAAGAAAGTATACAAAAATTGCAAAAGTATAACTGAGATCGAAGTGAGCAGAAGAACGTAAGGGTAAACTCGTTTCAAGAAGGCGATTTCGTGGTGATCAAAAATATAGACACAAACGTAGGCGTTAACAAGAAGCTTCTGCCCAAGTTTAAGGGGCTGTACTTAGTCCATAAGAAACTTCCTAATGACCGGTATGTGGTAAGGGACATTGAAAATGGGCAAATTACTCAAATACCATACAAGAGTATAATCGAGGCATGTCACATTAAACCATGGAAGAGCAGAGAAGGGCACGGGTATATGACTGAACGCAACACTTAAGAATAGACGTAGAAATAGTCTGTAAGCATATATATATTTAGTTTGTAACGTATGATCGGGCCGATCATTTAGGTCAGATTGGCCGAGCTGTAGTAGTGTAATCACTGTGTAATAGCAATAAGTACAAAATAGTAGAAACATGGCAATACTGCCATGGAATAAGTAAAATGTACTAATATACCAAGATGGCAGTGGTAGCGGCAGCGTAGGCGCCAGTGCAAGCGTCGACTGCAACGATACACCGCAAATAAATTCAGTTTTTGGTAAGTTGCCGTTTCCCAAGCTCAATTACAAATTTCAAGTGGGATCGGTGTTTATAAAAATCGACGCTTGGTTTGAGCTTCATGGATTTGGTGTGCGCAAGGAAAAGGATAAATACACAGCCATAATCGCGCATGCAGAGGATTATATTCTCGACCAAGTGTTCGACTTAGTTCGCTCACAACCAACCGTGGCCCCATATTCGACACTAAAAAAGGCAATATATACAGAAATTTAGTGACTCAGCAATGGCACGTCTGGACAAGTTAACTGGGATCCAACTAAATAGGCGACAGAAAACCCAGTCAGTTGCTCAG